AATCGAGTTTTAATATTTTATTAGCTAAACAAACGCAAAGCTTCCACCAAGAAAAAATAGTTCCTAGCAAGAGTACAGCGCCGACTGCTGTTACCCGGATGAGCCTGTGTTATCAGCTTTTACCGGTTGTTATCGAGGGATAACATACCTCAGAATGTCGCGACTGACCAATCAGAATCAAATATTCCACAAAGCCGTGTAATAAATATTTTTAACGCGTTAAACTGAAACAATTAATCTCCTCTGTTGACACGTTTGACAGCACCAATATACAGTAGGTTATATATATATATATATATATATATGTCGCCGTGATTTTGCCAAGTAAGACATGTTCCTGGATCAACATCTTTTGATGATCCTGGATTAACATTATTGTCCAAAAATATAGACTTAACCCAATCCCTACCCCTAAACCTAACCTTACCCATAATTTATTCCTAAAATCAGTGGGAAATGATAGCTGATTAACAAGGGTGTAGAAGCACCTAACCCTGATTTTAAGCCTAAAACAGATATTTCCTGAAAAGTTATATCTCAACTCTGATTGGTTGATTGGAATGTTGTTCCAGGATCAACAAGGATGTTGTACTTGGTGAAATCACGCTCACCATATATATATATATATTCTTACAAAAGAAGGTCTGTTATAGGCTACTAATATAATTTTGTGTGTGATTTTGTTTGTTTGGTTTTATGTGTGACTGGAAATCTCAAGCACTCTCCCCATATTATCAGGTAAAGCACTTGTCATCCTTTTTTACATATCTGTCATCTAGTTAGTTCCTAGATATTCTTTGATAGTCTCTTGTTCATGCCTAACATAAAATTTGTTAAGGTGTTCATCTTAAATAATTCATGTCTTCATTTGAAATTATGGTCATTGTATGGTTATTGTAGTAAAAATCTAACACTCTTACTCATTCTGCTCTAGACTTGAATTGTGGATCAGAAACCTACAATCCCCATGAACAAATGTGTTGCTCAGGGAATCTGTATAAGAAGGCATCAGCACTTACTAAGGTATTGCTTTTTGACCTGAAGCTTAAGTTTTGCAGAAATGGAAATTCAAATAAATTGGAGATTTCTCTGAACACTATTATTTTCGGTAATATGCTTATTAAAGGGGTGGTTGATTGTGATTTCACTTTTTTAACTTTAGATAGTGTGTAATGTTGCTGTTTGAGCATAAACAATATCTGCAAAGTTAAGACACTGAAAGTTCAATGCAAGCTGAGATATTGTCTTTTAAAATTATGGCAGTTTAATGCCTACAAAAACGGCACATAGGTACTACAACGAGCTACTTTCTGGGTTTGTGATATTTCAAACCCAGAAATGTACATAAACCCCACCCCCGGGAACATGCAACAAAGGGGGCGAGGCCATGTGCTGCTTTAGAGAAGAGGAAGAGTTGTTGCCATGCCGTCTAAACTAGGGGGTGCTCGAAAAAATCTTTTCTTATATGAATTGCGATTTTGTCTTCAAATGATTCTAATGGGCTACATTCACACTGTCAGTTTTTGGGATTGACAACTGCATTTTCTTTACAGGTGTGAGTTTCGAAATGTCCCATTCACACAGCAGCTTACAGTTGCATTTGGAATACTGTCTGTATGAACGTGCAAAAGGAGTCAAGCCCGTATTCCTTACCAGTAACCATAGCGACAGTGACCAAAGTAAAATCAAATATGGCGACATCCATAAAACTGAAAGTCTTATCACTTTCTGACATGACAACAGTCCAATCGAGCCACGAGTTCTTTCGTCAAATCTTCATTAACTGACAGCATCCTTTAAATTAGGTGGAGAGCGCAGTATTTGAGTCGCGCGCAGAACACAATACTGACTGGAGCGGCTCCGGTGGAAAACTGACGGGATCTAAAAATTTCAGATGACAGACACGCAACTAATTTCTCCGTCACTGTAAGTTACCGAAAACACGTAACAAACGGCGTTTGTGCAGCAGAGCGGCTCTCTCACACTGTATAACGTGACAGACAACTAGTTGTCCAGTCCTGTTCCGTTCACACAGCGTGTGTTCCGAGAATGCGGTTGTGAGTCCTGAAAATGTACAGGTGTGAGTTCGGTTACAGAATGCGGTTGTCATGCCCGTAAATAACCGAACTGTGTGTGAACGTAACCACATTAAGGACTCAAATACAGGACTGACAACTGTATTCTGCTGCTGTGTTAATGTGGCCCATGGATTCACAAGTTTCAAGATCAATGTTCTAAAGCAGTGGTTCTCAATCCTGTTCCTCGCGTCGCCCTGCTTTGCAATGATCTATCATTAGTCCCGTCAATGGAGGCCTCTCTGAGCCATCGGATTTGATCAAAAAGTGCTTAATTTGTGTTCTGAAGATGAATGAAGGTCTTAGGGGTGTGGAACGACATGAGGGTGAGTAATTATTGACAGAATTTTCATTTTTGGGTGAACTAACCCTTTAATGTTACATGTTACCTTGTCAATGTTAAAATTATTTTTTAATATATCAGTAAAAAAGTATGACAGGCTTTTACTCAAGTCTTTATCACTTTATTAAAATTAAGCGAAACAAAACGACAAATGTTTACTTTCACAAGTATAGGCTTGAAGTAAGCTGTCTCTTGCCTGTAGACTCAATCAGGTAACAAAAATGTCGGGAAACGACACCTCTGGCCATTCCATTGGGTCGTTTGTCCAGTCACAGACGGACAGTCCGACCCAATATGGCTTTTTCTACATATGTTGCTCTGTCGAATGGCAGAAATTATTTTATGTAGGCCATTCTGAGTCAACACCATGCTTTTCCAATGAGGGGGAAAGGATTGTTTTCCCCCACGCCGACTCCGCCCACACAGCTATGACGCAACACCGATCAAGTCTATCCACCTTTTTCTTGTCGTAAAAATGGGCGCGGCCATTTGTTAATTATATGGGTCTGGCTTCCGGTCTCATCTGCGTCCACTCCGTCCAGCTATTTTTAGCTGAGCAAAACAGTTCGTTTTGCTGCTTGATATTGAAAGTTGGTGTGTCTTATCATATTATTTTAATGTATTATCTTAATTATGAACACACTGGTTTGTAGTGCAAACAGTTTTACCGTTTACTGCACGTTGTTATTCTCCTCGTTATTTACCTATAGCGGCTAATGAACCGGAAGTCTCACCCATAGGCTTACTTCTGCGTTGAAGAGAAAGGTGGATATTTAGGACGCCATTGTTTACAATACAACCAGAGAACATTCTGAGGTGAGGGACGAACGTGCAATAGGTGGTTTAGCGAATCACAACACACTGGGCCAGCTGCTAACCAATCTGAGCCCATTACGTATTTCTGAGGGAGGGGCTTCATAAAACCAGGAAATCATCAGATCATTCATTGGAGAAGGGACAGAGAGGTGTAGAATAAAGGTAAATTATGTGAAAAAATAATGTGGTTTTTGAAAAATGAAGCATTAACACATCAGTGTTTCCCCTGCCATTGTTTTAGGGGGGCGGGGGGCGGCCGGGGCGGCACCCCCCACCCCCCTTGAAGGTCAAGTTAATTTTATTTAATTATATTTTCTCTATAGCGCCAGATCACAACAGAAGTAATTTAAAGTTACCTTTCTTATAGAACATGTCTTTACCTTGTTCTTTCATTAAGCAAACTAAATAGCCTTATATGTTATTTATCTTATTTACACGACGGAATGTAATTTCAGTCTCTACGTTATGGTCGCGCTCTCTGCATCACGCACAGCGGAGTTCCGCCCGATACACACACACACACAAGTGAGCCCACTCCCACTAGTATTTGTAAATATTAAGCCGCAAAACGAGTCCTATTTAAATATGAATTCTGCATGTCTCTGTGTTAATGAATGGCGCAGACGCGTGGTTTTGTGTAGTACTCGTACTGAAACGCTCGTGACGCTTCCGGTGATATTAACCTCTGCCGTCTCACTGATGAGGACATAAATACATGAACAACATCTCCAGAACTGCTCTGAGAGTCACTTCATCAGCATTTGACCGTTTCATTTGAATAAAACTATCATCATGTCATACACACACAGAAATGTAAAGGTATTCACGGCAACCCGTCAAAATAAAAGTTCGGTTTAACTTGAGGGCATTGGCAGAAATATATTACTATTGTTGAGTAGAATGTATGTAATACATACATTACCCCCCCCACCCCCAAAGCCGTGAACCTAGGGGAAACACTGCACATGTTAGACTGCACCCCATAAACACATTAAAGCCTAGAAAAAACAGTCAACCACCCCTTTAAGTAGTTGGAGAAATGAGAGTATACCGTTTTCAAAAACTCATACATTATGCATACAATATTGTATAGTACTATATATACCTGTGTCTTTCAGTGCTGTGGCGAAGATGCTTACATTCTGTCAGATGACAATGTGCTGTGCTGTAATGGAATCCTTCATCGCAATGTGCCTGAGCAGTCAGAGTGTGTTGGAGGTGTTATGTATACTCCAGCAAACACTACTTGCCAAATGTCGACCCGTCCTCGTCTTGGCGAGCACTGCTGTGGAGGACAAACCTTCAATCCTCGCACGCATATTTGCTGTAATGGACACAGGTAGGCCCACAGATTACAAAGATTTGATTTAAAAGTGCACTTAGTACTTTTTTGCTCATGTTTTAAATAATTTTATTACGTTTTGATTCATTTTGAAATCATCCAAACCTTGACCCTTGATCATAAAGGGGTCATCAGATGCCCATTTTCCACAAGTTGATATGATTCTTTAGGGTCTTAATGAAAAGTCTATAACAGTGGTTCTCAACTGGTTTGGCCTTGGGACCTAAAAATATACTTTTATATTGCAATAATTTCACATTCAATCTACAAATTAATGTACAAACAACATAAAGACAGTATATTTTTAAATATTTGTTTAATAGCATATTTTGTTCTGACTGAAGGCCAGTATCAATGATCCCAATACTGATTTATCTATAAAGTTGCCCCCCCCCCAATATTCAACCACTGACTATAGCCATTCAACATTACAGTATAATTGAGAGCTATCAATTTTAAAATTTATTAGACTTTAAAAAATAACTATTAATAAATTCTAAATTAAATATAGATGAATCCTTAAAGCTATAAAAGTTATTTTTCCTCTTCTTTTCATTGTCCTTTGATTAATAGACATCACAGAGGCTGATTATTAGCTTATTTTGGCTGTTATTTCTTTAAGAGCTGGCGCTGCTGAACGTGACACGGATCTGACACGCATCATATTTTCTCTCAACTCTTTTTACCTTTTCTGACCCACTTCAGGTCTTAAAGTTTCTATTAATGAGCTGACGAGTTAAATCGGGTTTGTTAGATGAGTGAGGCAGTGCTGGGCTGCTCCAGGACACTTGAAAACCATTTCAGAGACTTGTTCTTAAATGTGACTCATAAAATATATTACATGCATGCACAGTTTTAAGGCAGCTTTAATCGCCTTTTTGGTAACTTCATGACTTAACTGACTATGACATTGCATGCACGTGGTTTATTTCGTGCTTTGATATGAAAGGATACAGGCTACAGCACGCGCCGGCGCCTTTGTGCGTGCAATTGAAGAGCACACGCTTTGAGCACAGTATCATTTCAGCACTTGCTTGACTCGCGCGCTGAAGTAAAGTGGAGCGTGCATCTGAAACGTCTCCCGTTCTCAGTCGTTCTGCGACTGAATAAATGCACTTCTTGTTGAGAGAAAAAGTGACAGAAGCAGCAGTTGTGAGTGGGGTGGTCAATATATATATATATTTATATATAAATTAAGTTAAGACTGTTAAGAATATGACTAATACTGAATAAACAGCCTATAAGGTAAGGCTATTAAATAGCAGTCCCAAACTAGTTTTTGTTAACACAATTAAGTTGGTATGAGCCACCACAGTCATTTAAACATATACAAAATGACACAAAGTGAAAATAACATGGTATTTTTGGGTTATGGAAACAACAGTTACAATGTTGAATATACAATATTAACATGAACTGTTAATGAAACGTGAAAACTGCTCCTGAATAGAATGAATATCATACTTTCATGCAAATCCTTCCCAGCTAACACACGCAGTACCAGTTATGTGATTTATCGGTACTGTACTTTTATTTCACACGTTGCATGCTCGTAGTTTCTGTGCTTTAGTGAAGCGATATACGAACACGGTATAACATCTGACAGGACAGGATAGTTTGCTTTTCTGAGGTGAGAGACTTTTTATTTCATAACAAGTTACAAAAATAACATCTCGGTTACGCATGGTAACCCTCGTTCCCTGAAGGAGGGAATGGAGACGTCACGTCAGATGACCGACGAATTGGGATCTCGCTTAGAGAGACCAATCTACTTACAGTGTAAACTAAACGAGCCAATGCACATCGGCATGCGATTATTGCATCCAGCTGTCGCGGATCACAGCGTGAGTATAAGTAGGCAGCTGGTGCAGCACATATTCAGATTTTCGCTGAAGAGCCGAGCCGGTACCCCGGCTGCTCAGCGGTGGTACAGAAGATATGGTGAGGGAACATGACGTCTCCAGGGTTACCATACGTAACCGAGACGTTCCTTTTCAGTCGGTCACTCTCGACGTCACGTCGGATGACTGACGAATTGGGATCCCTACGAAAGGGCCATAGCTACTGCCCCTTCCAGTGTCCTGTGGAAGCCTCCTGCACCCCTACTTTTTGGCGCAGGCCAGTGCTTACCACAAAAAGAACAGCTACTGCTGCTATGGCACTACCCACTCAGTAAGACTGGATAACACTGGGAAAACATACCCGTACCACTTGGAACAACAATGTTGCGGAATCCTTCCCGAAGGAGGTTTCGGAAGCACTTACACATATGAACAACCGTTTAGGCACATATGGAAGATTAGAGGTGATTGTAACCCTCTTGGAAAATAACTGGAAGTCTGCCGTGGAAACACGGGCTCTGAGGCTATACCGTGGACTTTACACATATGGGATCCACTTAGGTCTCTACATATGGAACCCAGCCCTCTACCAGTTCTCACAGATTCATCGAATGAGGGCCTGGTGCCGGACGCTCCGCCACGTTTGGCTGCCAAGGGGATGGTGGAGCTCGACCGGGTCTACGATATGGACTTTCTGGAGCGGGTTTAACAAGCCGACCCGAAGCCGGGGTCTCTCAGTGCTTCTACCCATTTGAGGCTCCACACGAAGGCTATAGAATCTAGCGAGCGTGTTGGGGGTCGCCCAGCCCGCAGCTCTACAAATATCTGTCAGCGAGGCGCCATGAGCCAGCGCCCAGGAGGATGCAACACTTCTAGTAGAGTGAGCTCACAACCTGAATAGGTAGGGCACACCCTATGCCTGATAAGCCAGGGTGACGGACAAAGAGCTGGTCTGAGGTTCTGAAGCTTTGTGTCCGGTCTACATAGCATCTTAATGCTCGGACGGGACAAAGCAAAGCTAGGGCTGGGTCTGCCTCCTCCAGGGGCAGCACTTGCAGTCTCACCACCTGATCCCTGAAGGGAGTAGTAGGAACCTTGGGCACATAGCCGGGCCTGGGCCTCAGGATTACCTGGGAGTCAGCCGGCCCGTACTCTAGGCACGAATCGTAGACGGAAAATGCGTGCAGGTCCTCTATCCTCTTGATGGAGGCCAATGCATTAAGGGTGGAGGGACACAGCCTTCGCTCCAGCCCCTGCTCTAGAAAGGACATTTCCGGGGGTCTTCTCGGTGAGAAGAACACCACTCGACGAACAGGTTCCACTTCAAGGCGTAAGCGTGTCTCGTAGACGGTACTCTTGCCGAAGTGACGGTGTCAACTACCTCTTGGGGTAGGTCACCTAGTACCTCCGCTTCCCGTCCAGGGACCAGACAAGAAGTTTCCAGAAGTCTGGATGCGGGTGCCACAAGGTGCCCTGTCTCTGAGTCAGTAGATCATTCCTCAGAGGAATCTGCCAAGGAGGGGCTGTCACGAGGAGCATCAGTTCCGGGAACCAAGTCGGAGGGGGCCAGTAAGGCGCCACGAGCAAGACCTGCTCCTCGTCCTCCCTGATCTAGCACAGTGTCTGTGCGAGAAGGCTCACTGGGGGAAACGCGTACTTGCACAGGCCCCGCGGTCAGCTGTGTGCCAGTGCGTCTGTGCCGAGTGTTCCCTCAGTCAGGGAGTAGAACAACTGGCAGGTGAGAGGTTTCTGTAGAGGCAAACAGGTCTACCTGAGCGGCTCCGAAATTATTCCAAATCAGCTGGACCGTCTGGGGATGGAGTCTCCATTCTCCCAGGAGCACAGCTCGTGACAGCTCATCGGCTGCCCGGTTGTGCAGACCAGGAATGTGAATGGCACGAAGCGACCTCAGATGCTTCTGACTCCAGAGGAGGAGGTGGCGGGCGAGTGGCGACATGCGACGGGAGCATAGACCACCTTGTGGGCTGATGTACGCAACGGTCGCAGTGTTAACATCTTGAACGGTAACCGTCTTTTGAAGGGCCCGGTTCAAGACACGCAGCTCCAAGATCGGTTGTAACCCATCGCCTTTCTTGGGTACAACGAAGTAGGGTCTGTAAAACCCCATCACCATATCGGCTGGAGGGACCGGCTCTATTGCATCCTTTGCCAGTAGGACTGCGATCTCCGCACGCAAGACAGGAGCATCAGCCGCCTTCACTGATGTGAAACGGATGGCGCTGAACTTGGGGGGCGCCGGGCGAACTGAATCGCATAGCCGAGTCTGATGGTCCGCAGGAACCAGCGAGACGGTATGGGTAGCCAGGTACCCAGACACCACACAAGCTGGACCAACAGGACCACCGACATAGCGTGTAAGGTGGAGGCAGCTTCTCCACAGGCTGTATAAGCATCGCTGGCCAGACGAGTACCTACAGACCCGGGAGGCACGGTTCGTCCTGCCGGGTGGAGGCGGTATTAGGACACAACTGCATCGCAACCGACCGCTCCAAACAAAACCTTGCCAAAACAGCTTTTTTCAGAGCAAGCCATTTTCTTGCATGCCGCTTTAAATGCAAATGAGCTCTGCTCACCCCGCCCTTCTCTTCCGAGCCGCTATCTGAGAGACGATAAACTTTAGCCGCATTTATCGTGAAACATGCTAACTAGCACGTTATTATGAAAGGCAATTTGCAAAAATTCATAAAAAAAAATTATGCTCACTTCTTCTGTAAGTGAGGCTCGATCACGAATGATTCACGCTAACAAACGCATTTAGGTAGATCTGGGGCGCATTCCCTTCAAAAACAAATGTAATCCACTGTGTCTTTAGATCATAGATCATCTTTAGACATCCTCGGATGTCGGGAGTAAATGGCGACTGCTATGACGTCACACAGACAAGAAGCTGAGAACGTTATAGGGTGGTTGTGTACACACACTGCCAACACACATTTAAGTTCAAACAACTTGTAAAAGTTGACCCCTTTAACAACACATCCACCAAACAGGGGTGACCTGCCTTATGTAGAATAACATATTTCTCACAAGTATGGGTAATTTTTTGTGCTAATAACTTTTTGTAGTGTCTTTCTCTGCATGTTCCTGCTCAAGTAGGTCTCAGGTCAGGAAACAAATAGCAGTACTTGTGTGAATCTCTGATAATCTAGTAGCTTTAGGCAAAACCATTAAAAAATGGCAGATTATTGTTTGGCCTGTAGCCTGATTTCATTCTGCCCATGCTGTCTTGACAAACGAGGCTTTGTCTGTAACTGGAAATTCAAACCAAACTGATACATGCAGAGACAGCATAAGAATGTACTTACTGGCACTACATTTCTCAAAAAAGACATATTCATATAGCACAGCTCTAGGACAGTCTCTCAGTCATCCAGGCCACCTGATAAACCTACAATAATTTTAAAACCACATGAATGACTTTTCTTTTAAACTTTTTTGATGTTGTTGTTTGTTCTATTTAGCCACAACAAGATGAATGGCAATTTCTGTTGTGGTTCAGAAGTCTATGACCACCACAACCAGTTCTTGAGATGCTGCTCAGGTCATCTCTACAACCTAACCCATTTACGTGGAAATGCAGAGTGCTGTGGAAGCCTATTGCTGAAATATAGTAATCACATTTGCTGTTCCTCCTCAACCAATTCCGTAATGTATGACACCAAAAGAAACCACCGTTGCTGTGGGCATTACTACTACAACACATCCCTGTGGAGCTGCTGTGCTGAACGTCTCAAACCAACACCAAAGCCTAACAGCTCTCCTGAAGAATACAGACCTAAACCCCTAACAGGCCTCTACCCATTTGAGGCTCCACACGAAGGCTATAGAATCTAGCGAGCGTGTTGGGGGTCGCCCAGCCCGCAGCTCTACAAATATCTGTCAGCGAGGCGCCATGAGCCAGCGCCCAGGAGGATGCAACACTTCTAGTAGAGTGAGCTCACAACCTGAACGGGCAGGGCACACCCTGTGCCTGATAAGCCAGGGTGATGGCATCCACTATCCAGTGGGCCATCCTCTGCTTAGATACTGCATTCCCCTTCTGCCGGCCTCAATGACAGACAAAAAGCTGGTCTGAGGTTCTGAAGCTTTGTGTCCGGTCTACATAGCATCTTAATGCTCGGACGGGACAAAGCAAAGCTAGGGCTGGGTCTGCCTCCTCCAGGGGCAGCACTTGCAGGCTCACCACCTGATCCCTGAAGGGAGTAGTGGGAACCTTGGGCACATAGCCGGGCCTGGGCCTCAGGATTACCTGGGAGTCAGCCGGCCCGTACTCTAGGCACGAATCGTAGACGGAAAATGCGTGCAGGTCCTCTATCCTCTTGATGGAGGCCAATGCATTAAGGGTGGAGGGACACAGCCTTCGCTCCAGCCCCTGCTCTAGAAAGGACATTTCCGGGGGTCTTCTCGGTGAGAAGAACACCACTCGACGAACAGGTTCCACTTCAAGGCGTAAGCGTGTCTCGTAGACGGTACTCTTGCCGAAGTGACGGTGTCAACTACCTCTTGGGGTAGGTCACCTAGTACCTCCGCTTCCCGTCCAGGGACCAGACAAGAAGTTTCCAGAAGTCTGGATGCGGGTGCCACAAGGTGCCCTGTCTCTGAGTCAGTAGATCATTCCTCAGAGGAATCTGCCAAGGAGGGGCTGTCACGAGGAGCATCAGTTCCGGGAACCAAGTCGGAGGGGGCCAGTAAGGCGCCACGAGCAAGACCTGCTCCTCGTCCTCCCTGATCTAGCACAGTGTCTGTGCGAGAAGGCTCACTGGGGGAAACGCGTACTTGCACAGGCCCCGCGGTCAGCTGTGTGCCAGTGCGTCTGTGCCGAGTGTTCCCTCAGTCAGGGAGTAGAACAACTGGCAGGTGAGAGGTTTCTGTAGAGGCAAACAGGTCTACCTGAGCGGCTCCGAAATTATTCCAAATCAGCTGGACCGTCTGGGGATGGAGTCTCCATTCTCCCAGGAGCACAGCTCGTGACAGCTCATCGGCTGCCCGGTTGTGCAGACCAGGAATGTGAATGGCACGAAGCGACCTCAGATGCTTCTGACTCCAGAGGAGGAGGTGGCGGGCGAGTGGCGACATGCGACGGGAGCATAGACCACCTTGTGGGCTGATGTACGCAACGGTCGCAGTGTTAACATCTTGAACGGTAACCGTCTTTTGAAGGGCCCGGTTCAAGACACGCAGCTCCAAGATCGGTCGTAACCCATCGCCTTTCTTGGGTACAACGAAGTAGGGTCTGTAAAACCCCATCACCATATCGGCTGGAGGGACCGGCTCTATTGCATCCTTTGCCAGTAGTGTAACCCATCGCCTTTCTTGGGTACAACGAAGTAGGGTCTGTAAAACCCCATCACCATATCGGCTGGAGGGACCGGCTCTATTGCATCCTTTGCCAGCAGGACTGCGATCTCCGCACGCAAGACAGGAGCATCAGCCGCCTTCACTGATGTGAAACGGATGGCGCTGAACTTGGGGGGCGCCGGGCGAACTGAATCGCATAGCCGAGTCTGATGGTCCGCAGGAACCAGCGAGACGGTATGGGTAGCCAGGTACCCAGACACCACACAAGCTGGACCAACAGGACCACCGACATAGCGTGTAAGGTGGAGGCAGCTTCTCCACAGGCTGTATAAGCATCGCTGGCCAGACGAGTACCTACAGACCCGGGAGGCACGGTTCGTCCTGCCGGGTGGAGGCGGTATTAGGACACAACTGCATCGCAACCGACCGCTCCAAACAAAACCTTGCCAAAACAGCTTTTTTCAGAGCAAGCCATTTTCTTGCATGCCGCTTTAAATGCAAATGAGCTCTGCTCACCCCGCCCTTCTCTTCCGAGCCGCTATCTGAGAGACGATAAACTTTAGCCGCATTTATCGTGAAACATGCTAACTAGCACGTTATTATGAAAGGCAATTTGCAAAAATTCATAAAAAAAATTATGCTCACTTCTTCTGTAGGTGAGGCTCGATCACGAATGATTCACGCTAACAAACGCATTTAGGTAGATCTGGGGCGCATTCCCTTCAAAAACAAATGTAATCCACTGTGTCTTTAGATCATAGATCATCTTTAGACATCCTCGGATGTCGGGAGTAAATGGCGACTGCTATGACGTCACACAGACAAGAAGCTGAGAACGTTATAGGGTGGTTGTGTACACACACTGCCAACACACATTTAAGTTCAAACAACTTGTAAAAGTTGACCCCTTTAACAACACATCCACCAAACAGGGGTGACCTGCCTTATGTAGAATAACATATTTCTCACAAGTATGGGTAATTTTTTGTGCTAATAACTTTTTGTAGTGTCTTTCTCTGCATGTTCCTGCTCAAGTAGGTCTCAGGTCAGGAAACAAATAGCAGTACTTGTGTGAATCTCTGATAATCTAGTAGCTTTAGGCAAAACCATTAAAAAATGGCAGATTATTGTTTGGCCTGTAGCCTGATTTCATTCTGCCCATGCTGTCTTGACAAACGAGGCTTTGTCTGTAACTGGAAATTCAAACCAAACTGATACATGCAGAGACAGCATAAGAATGTACTTACTGGCACTACATTTCTCAAAAAAGACATATTCATATAGCACAGCTCTAGGACAGTCTCTCAGTCATCCAGGCCACCTGATAAACCTACAATAATTTTAAAACCACATGAATGACTTTTCTTTTAAACTTTTTTGATGTTGTTGTTTGTTCTATTTAGCCACAACAAGATGAATGGCAATTTCTGTTGTGGTTCAGAAGTCTATGACCACCACAACCAGTTCTTGAGATGCTGCTCAGGTCATCTCTACAACCTAACCCATTTACGTGGAAATGCAGAGTGCTGTGGAAGCCTATTGCTGAAATATAGTAATCACATTTGCTGTTCCTCCTCAACCAATTCCGTAATGTATGACACCAAAAGAAACCACCGTTGCTGTGGGCATTACTACTACAACACATCCCTGTGGAGCTGCTGTGCTGAACGTCTCAAACCAACACCAAAGCCTAACAGCTCTCCTGAAGAATACAGACCTAAACCCCTAACAGGCCTTATCCCTGAAATGTGCAATAAAACAGGTGATGTTCTTGAACAAAAAAAAAAAAAACATGAAATACTAAACATGAAATACTAAAAAAAATTTGGAAGTAGACTAAATTATCTCATTTTTATGTGTGTGTGTTTCTAGTGTTCTTTGGCAGAGTGGAGAGTGTGGCACTTGAAAATGATCTGCGTCATGTGGTGTTGAAAGTTGTGTGGCAAGTCAATATGAAATCTGAAAATTTAATCAAAGACCCTTGGCTTCATGTGTCCCTGGATCACTGCAGCTCTCCTGCCACAGATAACGGCATGACCTACCTTTGGGAGGAAAACCACAATGGGAAGTACAAGCTTCTCTCTCACCCTGTTGACCTAACATCTGACATTTACATGTTATATTCTGTATGTTACCAAAAGAAGGGATAGAAATATGGATTGAGGTCTATTTACCATCATTTCAAAGCATGCAGGTTGTCATAAGATTCCTGATCATTTTTATCCATCATTAATGATAAATGACAATAGAGGAAAGTCTCTGTTACTATACACAGCATTACGGCATCACATGTTGTGCATCTGTGCTTTTTACCTCATTGGATATTTTTATTTCATCTCAATAATGGATTGATCCTGTTTGGAGTGATGCATTACTCTTATTTATTCAGTGAGGTAATTTTAAGCTTTGTTAATGTGAAAAATGGAAATAGAATCAAAAAAGAAAACATTCTTCTTTTTTAATATTGAGTTCTCTTAAAGAGTTATTTTTTATCTAAATTGCTGGGCAGTGTTAATTTTATATATTTTAAGTTGCACTGCATGACTTAAGAAGCATGTTTTTGTAATCGTACTGTATTTGATCAGTCTCAGGTCTATTCCAATTCTGTTCAATTTCTAACAATTTGATGGGTTCAGGGGCCTTCATGTACTAAACTCAGAGGTGCTCAAAAGCAATTAATGGCTTTTATCCTAATCCTTGAGAAGACAGAGGTTATTTCATTATATATATATATATATATATATATATATATAATAACAACAACAACAGCTGTGTATCATTCAGGCAAGAGCACAGTATTAATAATCTTTTGAACAGGGTCATTTTTACAAATTCAACTATTATCTTCTCTTGTGGACTATATGTAAACATCTTTTATGTGAAATATCTTATTCAGGTCAGTACTAAATAAACAATAACCTCTTATTTTGGTATAATAATTAACATTTTGCAGATTCTGAAGGGGGGGGGGGGGAAATTTTAAATTTTTCACCTCAATTGTATCTAGGCTAGATTGTATCCTGTTATTCTGTCTCATGATGGTTTTAATGCTAGTCATATCATATTAAATAATTATAAATGATTATTATAATTCAACTATATAATGAACAGATTTTTTTATAGACAAAACAAATAAACATTTAAAATGTCTGGAGTAAAACCTGACATGCACTTTGTGGTTTTGTGTACTGATTCTGTTTGAATAACTCCAAATTAAGATTTTATAAACATTTAAACAATGTGAATAAGCAGTTTAAAAAGTAGCATTCCCTGCTAATAAGGCTGGAATACACTACACAACTTTTAAAATCTGAACTGTAAATTGTCAGTTCCGACTGTTTCAAATCTGCAAACTAGCTTGACCTGTTATCAACAGGCATCACAGATTTGTGGAGCAGACCAACATAAGGACAGAAAGTAACAATTTTAACAATAGCTATTGAAGGAATGTGCCACATTATACATAGCATAACACCCTAATGATATGTAGCTATAGGCCCGGACCAGTCAGAGTGCCCATGTTCCACCCTAGTGAAAAAGTAAAAATATACTAAAATGTATTTGAAATACATTTATTTCATGATAAGTATACTACAAATAAATTTTCATATTTATGTACTTAATAAAATGCCCTGCAGTTGTACTTTTAGTATACTAAACTGGTCAACTTCATGCACTTTAATTGTGAGGAAGTAGTGCTGAAGTCCAATTAAAGAATAGTATATTTGATTGTGGTAAAGTGGAACTATTGCAAGTATACTTTAAGTACACTTTAAATATTTAGCATTTAAAGTGCAATATTATTCAAAGATCATACAATCCTCATTAAAAGTGACATTAAAGCACATTTTTGGCTTATTAATAAGAAATGTGCATTGTGCACAAGTAATCCTCCAAATAAAGTTTCATTAAAAATTTTATATCACTAGGTCTCGAGTTATCTGTCAGTAAATATTTTTATAGATTTGAACTATAATTAGTATGAAATAAATGTATTTTAAATATATTACTTTTTTACTAGGGCAATGACCCTTGTTGAGTTCCAAAACCTCAGAATGGGCACATATCGGAAACTGACCTTGAAGTAGAAGTAGAAGAAGGTTGTCTGGTCTGATGAATCCTGTTGTTTTTTACATCACATGGACAAGGCAAGAGAGGCAGTGCCTCCTCAAAATATTGGATGAGGGGGGGGGGGAATCATAGTACAAAAATAAAATGCCAATATTACAAAATCTAACATTACAGTTTTTCTCGATTGCTAAAACACTATAACCAGGCTTTTGAACTAAAATTGCAAAACCATAACGCTATTTATCAAAAAGCACCCGATTCCCTAAACTCTAAACACTACTCCCCTGTTTTGACACATGAGTCAGATTTGTTGAGCTGTCACTGCAGAACTCAACACAAAAATCCCTTAATTTCTTATTGTGTACACCATGTGGTCATTTTGAAAGCACTAACATTCAATACTGCTCACTCAAGTCAGCACAGCTTGAGCTCAATTAGCACACAATTCCCCAGGTGAAAACACTAAGAGTTAAAATTGAACATACATCAATCAGATCCTTCAATACATACTTTAGATAAAAAGGCCTGAATCAGTTCATTGAGTTTTGGAACAATGGATCCACAGAGAAATGAAGGAGGAGGAGAAGGAGGGGGAGAAAGAGGAGGAGGAGGAGGAGAAAAAGGAAGGGGAAGGGCAAGGGCAGGGAGACAAGCAGTCTAGGATAAAATTCGAGCCACTTTAGTTGACCATGTCCTTGTCCATGGTATGACTATGAGGGAGGTTGGGCAATGAGTACATGCGCTTCACCATCGCCTCCATCATCAGAACCCTCATGGAGGAAAACAGGTAGGTGTACTTCCAGTAAGACTGCTCTGTACAGTAACTTTTGAGTGCTGTACTCTGCTGTGACAACGCATACACTGTTTCACTATGCTACTGTAATTAAAGAAATGCATCAAATTGTCTCACATACAGATAGAGTTTCAGTATGTTTCCATTTTTTCCTGTAAAAAGGATGTGTGACAGTTACAGTAATGAGTGCTTCTATTTTTGTAGGACACAGAGACGACTACTTGGTGGAGGCAGGCTAAGGCTTTTGTCGGAGGAGCAAGAGAGGGAGCTTGTAAACTTGGTCATTGCCAGTTAGTTGACCATGTCCTTGTCCATGGTATGACTATGAGGGAGGTTGGGCAACGAGTACATGCGCTTCACCATCGCCTCCATCATCAGAACCCTCATGGAGGAAAACAGGTAGGTGTACTTCCAGTAAGACTGCTCTGTACAGTAACTTTTGAGTGCTGTACTCTGCTGTGACAACGCATACACTGTTTCACTATGCTACTGTAATTAAAGAAATGCATCAAATTGCCTCACATACAGATAGAGTTTCAGTATGTTTCCATTTTTTCCTGTAAAAAGGATGTGTGACAGTTACAGTAATGAGTGCTTCTATTTTTGTAGGACACAGAGACGACTACTTGGTGGAGGCAGGCTAAGGCTTTTGTCGGAGGAGCAAGAGAGGGAGCTTGTAAACTTGGTCATTGCCAGTAATGTAATCTGCCTGCGAGAGATTCAAAGGAGAATGATTGAGAATAATCATTATTTTCGAGAGATAAATGCCATCAGCCTCTCTACAATTGATCGCATCCTCTGAAAGCACCGGTTCTGGATGAAACCGGCGTACCCTTTTGAACCCTTTGTGCCTTTTGAACGAAACTCTGACAGAGTGAAATACCACTGCGCACTTCTCTAGGGTATAATCCATTCAGAATTAGTATGAAACTAGTTTTACACATAGGCTACACCCTGCAAAGTTTCGGGAATTACATCCGCATATTTATGCAGGATTCACTCTCGAAATAGCAGTGATTGGCAATGGACGGAACATAAAATATGTTGATTTAATTCTGGAACCGGTCCTGGCCAAACCTCCAGAGACAGCGCGCGTCCCGAGTGAGATCTAATTCATGGACCAAAAGCGTGTGTAAACTTTATTGAGATCGGGACATATCAACCAGTAATTTCATTTAATTTCCAGTAATGGACTGGAGAAAGTTCAGCAATGAATGGTATGCGATTTATAACAGAATATAGTCCCACAACTGATTGTTTATTTTTTTAAGATAAACAATTTAACAAAATTTAAGAAAAATATTAGGCCGATTAATTAATTTCAACGTTTATTCAAACAACTAATAAATTATATAGGAAAGTGAGCAAAGAACATAAATTTTACTGTATCAACGAAGATTTTGAAACTCCGAATCAGTTAAACCATTGCGTCGCAAAATGATTCACTGTTTTGAATTGCTCCAATCGGATCGCGTATCACGAATCATTTTCATGAATCATGGAATCCCCCCCATCCCCCCGGCAAATCGCACCCTGTAGGCTTTTTGTTTTTTCTTGCCCACCCTGACTCAAGGGTCAAATGTTGCTGATGTGTTCAGGTATGAGTTTTGATATCGTATGAAGTATTGTGTAACATCACAGTATAGCAGTTTATGCTGCCATTTGTGCCCTTTTGAACTGTGCTTCAGGGTAGTGATTTACTCTACTGTGTTTCATGTGTTTTGCAGAGAATATTTGAGATTGAAGGCCAGCCTATTCCCCATGAGTTTATCTTTGTGGATGAGGCTAGTTTCAACCTGACCAGAAGAAGGGGGAGGAACATAATTGGCCATCGGGCTATTGTAAATGTCCCTGGTCAGTATGATTTGGAAAGGCACACACATCTTAATAAAAGGTCTAACAGCTGATAATGCATATCAGAGCAAAAACCAAGCCCTGAGGTCAAAAGAACTGCCTGTAGAGCTCAGAAACAGGTTTGTGTCAAGCCACACATCTGGGGAAGATTTCAGAAAAAATCTGCTTCATTGAAGGGTCACAGAAGCATGTAGTCTCTGTTACTCTTAATGGAAGAAGTTTGAAACAACCAGAACTCTTCCTAGAGCTGGCCTCCTGGCCAAACTGAGCAATTGATGGAAAAGCGTCTTGGTTAGAGTGGTGACCAAGACCATAATGGTCACTCTAGTTGAGCTCCATGATCATATATGCAGATGGGAGAAATCTAGAGAAGGACAAATATCATTGCAACACTCCACCGATCTGGGCTTTATCTCGGAGTGGCCAGACTCAATCTTCTCCTCAGTGAAGACACATGAAAACACACTTGGATTTTTGCATAAAAACACCTAAAGGACTCTCAGACTCTGAGAAACAGGATTCTCTGGTCTGATGAACCTCAATTCCAAGCATCATGTTTGAAGGAAACCAGGCACTGCTCATCACCTGAAGAGTACCATCCCAAAAGTAAAGTGTGCTGGTAGCAGCCTCATGCTGTGGGGGTGTTTTTCAGTGGCAGGGACCGAGGGACTCATCAGAGTAGAAGATAAGCTCAATGCAGCAAAATATTGAGATAGCCTTAATGAAAACCCAGTCTAGAGCATTCAGAACCTCAGACTGGGCAGAAGGTTCACCTTCCAACAGGACAATGAACCTAAGCACACAGCAAGAGTGGCTTATAGACAACTCTGTGAATGTCCTTGAGTGGCCCAGCCAGAGCATGAGCTTGAACCCAAACAAATAATTCTGGAGAAACTTGAAAATGTGCATTTGCCCCCATCCAACCTGACAGAGCTTGAGAGGTGATGAGGTGAGGAGAAGAATGGCAGATAATTGCCAAATGA